CATTAAATACTGCCTCTTCTCTACTGCATAAACCTTTAAAATTAAATCTTGTCTCTCAGCTGAATAAAAATCATGGTAATTTTCTGATATGTGGTATCTCTCTTCCAAGGAGAGAAAAAGACCTCTTCTCATTAATCATGCAGATAACTCAGTTATGTTACTGGCATTGCAACAATCTTAAAGAAAGGAGGAAGAACTAAAAGAACGAAAGAGAGGAGGAGGAAGTAGGGGCATACACATCAAGTAAATGCAAAGCCCAGATCTGAAGCCAGGTATACAAGCCACAAGACAAAGATTACTAAAGGCCAGGAAAGTTTCCTCCAGCTGATGGCAGAAGTAGTCCGAGAGATTCCAAGGAAGACAAGGATTTGACAGACCACTGTTGGCTTAAAGACGGAGAGGGAGCATGAAAAGACATGTAGGCAACTTAAGGAACACAGCGCAGCAGATGGCGGTGTGTTAGTCCTACACATGCAGAGTGGGTTGAATAACTGCTCTCCAAAAGACAGAATGGACTCTAATTCCAATGACAGATTTCCTCAAAAGAGAAAGGCAGGTGGAAAAGTAACACTCAGAGACACAGGAAAGCCATGTGATGGCAGAGGCACAGACTGAAGGATAACTGGCAGCCATTGGAAGCCGGGACAGAGATAGGGACTCGCGTCTCCCTCAGAGCTTCCCAGAGGCAATCATCCTGAACCCTCCATTTCAGACTTCTGTGCTCCTGAACTATGAAGTACATCTCTGTTGTTTTAAGCCAGGTGCTTTGTGGTTGTTGTAAGAGCCTAGAAAGCAACATGAACCATGACAAACCAATCCTGCCAACAACCTGCACGGGCTTGGCAACTGGTCTACATCCAGAGCCTCTGGACAAGGACTCAGCCCAACAGAGCCTTGATTCCAGCAGCTCGAGAACCTGAGCAGAGAGCCCAGTCAGAACCATGTGGGACTTCTTGATTCCTTCCTAGTGTCCCAGGGTGGCCTGTGAGTGTGAGATGATGTCATTAGGGCGGAGCCTCCGTGATTTGATTTTAGTGGGTTTCTAAGCAGAGGGAAGAAGACTGGAACGGTAGAGAAAAGGTCACATGGATACCGACCACACTCCACTTTCGCTATTTTGGGATGCCTTCAGACTTTCCAGGCACCAGAACTGTGAGTTATTAAACCTGTAGTTGTATGAACCTACCTACTCAGGTATTTCTCTTAGCAATGCAATAACAAACTAAGACAAATGCCATTTCTCTACAAATGGGAATATAATCCACATACGGTAAACACTAAATAAGCAGTTATAACTGAAGTTTGTCTCTTTAGAAAGTAAAGCATGCACACTGAGGTAACGGTTCTTTGATATAGCGAGCGATTCATTCACAGTATTTATACTAGATGTGATCGTTAATTTTAGACATCGCTTGACTGGGTTCTCAGAAATATGTAACACTTTTCTACAAATTTTTTAGTTTTTCATCTTTGTTCTATCTCTTTGTGGCTGTTACCAACAATGTAATTGCTGAGTCAGAGTTTGATGGTTATTGTCAAATACTGCACACCTGTGCCCCTCCAAAAAGCTACATGGATTTACTATGTCACCACCAATGTCTAAAAGGACCATTTTCCCCCCACAGATATGCCACTGTTTACTACTGTAAACTTGATTTTGTCAGTTTATTGGGAATCATTAATAAAATTTCATAGTTAAAAAATATAGGTGATACTATTTATAAATATCATAGTCTTGACTAATACAATTCTTCACATGAAAATGAGTCACCTACTGTACAAACACATGAAAAGATTCACCTTGGCTTTATACAAAGTATTAGTTAAGGTCAAAGAGGATTAAAACTTGAACAAAATGAAAAGTATCAACATCAATATGTCTACTTGCTAAATTGAAGTGGATGCTATACAGCTCCTATGAACCACAGAAAGGTCATAATTCTTAGCCCTCTTATTTGCCATACTCCATGGAGAACATGAATTTTTCATTATTAGCATTTCCAAATGTACAGTTACAAAGAGTTATTTTCAAAGACCACACTCTTTTCAAGGTTCTACTGTTCTAAAGTCAAAGAAGTGAAATGAATGCACTACTTATATTTCATTTTTAAAAATGTCTGTTTAACATTTATTGAGCCCATACTACATATGCCAGGTAAGGCACAATAAGCATTACCTATTTAATGGCCACTTCACTTTACAAAGTATGTGAAACTATTTTTTATTTTTCTTTTTGTTTTTGAGAGGTCTTTGCTATAGGACGCGTGCGCTTGCCAGACAGACAGACAGAGACAGAGACACAGAAAGCAAGAAATTACCCCACAGGGGGGATGGCCATGCCGCAATCCCTTCTCCTCCATTCTCCTCTCGGGATCTTGGGCACGCATGCACACGTGCCCAGCGTGAATTTAAGCCACCTGGTCCGGGACTCGAACCGCGGTTAACTCCGGGAAATCGCCCTTCCCCCAACCGTTGGGCCCAAATTTTTTTTTTTTTTTTTTTTTTTAGGGCAGGTCTCACTGTCACAATTCTCCTGCCTCAGTCTTCCTGTTAGGTCAAAGACTAAGACAACATAATAGGGCATGAAACAAGCCTCAACACATTTAAAATACAGAACCATATACAGCATCTTCTCTGACCAAAATGGAATTAAACTTGAAATCAACCACAGAAAGAGCTCTCAGAAATACAGAAAAACATAGCAACTAAATAATCTACATCTGAACAACTTCTAAACTATTGCTATTAAGATGGAAATCAAAAGATTCATTGAAACTAATGATAAGGAACACATTTCCATAAGCTCTGGGTCATAGAAAAAGCAGTTCCTAAGAGGGAAGTTCATAGCCATTAGTTCTCATAAGGAAAAAAATAAGTGGCAAATATATAGCTTGACATTACATCTCAAGAAACTAGAAAAGCAACACCGAGTAACAGAAGAAAAGGAATAGTAAAGGCTGAAGCTAAGAATAAATGAAACAGAGAATGAAAGAAACAAAAAAGTTGGCTTTTTGAAAGGATAAACAAAACTGTCAAACCATTAGCTACTTAAGAAAAACAGAAAAAGGAACCAGATCAATAAAATCAGTAACAGTAATATTGGTAATATTCTGGGCATTCTGTTAAAGCTGCAGATAGTGAACTGAGATGCTAGAAAAGCCAGACATTTCAGACTCAGAATTACCTGGTGGTGTAAAACTGAGCAGCTCTGAGTCTGGTGGTGGTATCATAGCCCTACATACAGTAATCCCTTTGCTTGCTTAAGATCACTGTGCACAACAAATACAACAGAAAAGGAGTTTCAGACATTTTGTCCCTGGTGAAGAAGGAGTTAGGCAATGGTGGTCATACACTTGGATGTATTCCTGTGCTTCAATATTCATTTTCAGTGACTCACTGGAATTGTTCTTCTTCCTGACTACTGAGGAAGTGTTGCAAACTTCAGTTACACATGCCCTAGTCTCATGATTTCTACCGTATCTGTGTATATACATATTTTAATTTATAATTTTCTTTAAATTGGTTCCCTTAAAGCATAAACATCTATGTTAGTCTCTTCTAAATAATGAAACTTCATTATTATTTTTAAAAATTAATTTACAGAGCTGCTAAGCTATTAGGTCATTGGGAAAGTCATGACATGTTTTTCTTTTTCTTTTTTTTTTTTTTGGAGAGGTTTTCGCCATAGGGCACGTGCGCTCGCCAGACAGACAGAGAGAGAGAGACATAGAGACAGAAAGCAAGAAATCACCCCCCAGGGGGGATGGTCACGCTGCAATCTCTTCTCCTCCATTCTCTCGGGATCTTGGGCACACACACACATGCGCCCGGCGTGAGTTTTAAGCCACCGGGTCCAGGACGCGAACCGCAGTTGACTACGTGGGAGTCCAGTGACATAGCCATTACGCTAACTGCTGGTTCCCATGACATGTTTTTCTATGCAAAAATGTGCCATGACTTTCTAACGACCCAATATTACTAAACTGCAAAGTCCTACTGGAATAAATTATGTCCCTAAATTTAGGAGGTAATCTTGGGTCCTAAAAAGGCTTCCTTGTATTTTTATATAGCAGATATTCAAAGTACATCTTTTAAAAAATTGTATTCTGTGTACACCCTACATTTTTTGCCCTTTTTTTCTGAAATGTGTGTTATGATAGATCAAGCCCTCAGTCTGTCAAGACAGGCTTCCTCATCCATTAGAAGGGTTGACACACAATAGCTACACACTTCCTAAACTGTGTCCTTCCACACCAGTGAGGAGTGGTTACGCACTTCAAAATATTACGTAAGACTGTTCAAATTGTAACATCGGCCAAAATCTGAATGTATTTATATGTGGCTTCTATATAGTTATTATTATTATTATTATTATTTTAATGAGAATAGTAGATCTTGAAAAACTGAACAAAGGGAGGGAAGCATCCAGTAAGGCTGCTATCCTTGAAAGCTTGAACGGACTCAGAAGCAGCCCAGGCCTTGAAGGAAGCCATGTTCAGGCATGACTATGAATGCACGATATGGAATGCAGCATTTATTCAGTATCTCCCACTATTTCTTCCTAATATCCCAAACATATTATTTGTAACTAAACTTAATTTTTATTCCACAATTTTGGGGAAAAGGAAGACTCCCTTCCATTTCTATTATTCCTGAGTGGAGCTAGAAATAATCTCAATTTTATGTTTTAGTAGTCTTGCAACACTGACCTTAAATCATAAATCTCACCCCTTGAGCCATGAACACCTTTAAATATGCTAAATTCAGAGTCATGCACCTGGCAGGAAACTGATTCAGTTCTAAAGGGATATTTTTGAAGACAGACTGACATTTTTCTGAGTCTTCTGCACTGTAACAACTACTGGCTCTGTTTCTAGACCACTGTCACAGTGGGGACACATGCATATATGCACAAATATAAGGACACCAAGACCCCAGCTGTATCACCTGACCTGGGCATCCGACACTTTATTGCATGACATCAGCAGTGTGACACTTACTCAGGAAGTAAGACATCTCTAATGAGAGCCAGAAGATTGCTGTCGGAATCAACGTTCGTCTCCACCTCAACCTCCTGGTTCACAAGTAGGGATGTGGTCTCTGAGAGCAGCCGTAAGCTGAAGAGTCTCCACTCCACTTGAAAGAAAATAAAAGCTAAGAATGTGACTCCATGGAGACAGAATGAAAACAGAATGTGCAATGGGGGGAATTCTTGTTGATGTGGTCACACTTACCATTTTGGCTTTGAACCAAGGAAACCAAAGGTGGCAGGATATACTCAACAACCTAAAAGGAAGGATATAAAAGACTTGGTTCAAATCTCTATAAGTGCAAAACTGATATCGACCACTATCTATGCTTACTCCATAAACAGAATCACTAATGAAACAAAGGAACAAAAAAAAATGAAAACCACATTTTGTAAATTTTAAAATCCTGAATTTAAACTCTCCACATTTAAAAAACCCACCAAGCTCATTTACCTCTGCAAAAGTCTTCAAGTCAAAAATGACAATATGAAAATCAAAACAGTAATTTCTCAAAACTTTCCATTTTTTTTAAAGAAACTCTAGTTTATAATATAAAATCTGATTGGTATCAGTTAGTATTAAACCATCAAATAGGTATAATATGCGATCATTATTTAAGATAAACAACAATCAAAATGTTGGAAAAAAAGTAGACACACATAATCCCTGTGATTTATTGAACACATCAAAGAACTATGACAAGTTAATCTTGGTTATTTTTAGAAATAGATTAGAAAGATAAAAATCCAGTATGCAAAACGAGCCCTATGATTTCCCAGTTATATCAGACAGAACACAATCAAACGTGGTTTGAAATTTAAACCAGAGAAGAAGAAGAAACCAGGCTTGTGAGAACTAGTGATTTCAGGGAAAAGAGAGAAATGAAGATTTTCTACTGATAATTCCAGCCCACAAACTTGAGAGGAGAGGCAGGGGATAGGCCTTCAGAGGAAGACTCCTCCAGGGCTCCTGAGAACCAGTGGTTTTGCATGGCATGATTGTGTGCCACGCAGTTTATTTCTTGCTTTTGAAAAGAAAAAATAACAAATTTTTTGGTTGTTTTTTATTTTTTTCCTTCTATTTGTCTGTTTCTTTCTCTCTCTCTCTCTTCTCTTTTCTTTTTCTTTTATCTCATCACTCTATTCCTCTATCTCCATTCACTATGTTTCTAGATGGATCTAAGGGAACCATAGCCAAACATCCAAATACTATTAGGGTTAACATATTCTCCAACATCCAATGAATCTGCTGCACAAAGGGATGAAAACAGAAGAGCAAAGAGATTCCAGATCACCTCCTTCTACGTGCTCCTGAATGCTCAGCTAGAACTTTGAGAATTAGGAAGAAATAAACCATCCATCAGATGACTAGAAATCACTGCAGGGCCACAGGCAATATGGGAAAGCAAGAAAATACCTCTCCTCCAAGGGAAAAGAATAGCTCCTCTTCATCCACAGACAGTTCAATGAAAATCATGAAAATATCTGATAAAGAATTTAGAATATTCATAATGATGAAACTAACAGAGATGGAAGAGAAGAGAGACAATGAACTGCTGAAGAGGCAGGAGAAAGGAGTTTACAAGTTTCAGGAGGTGAGGAAATTCTTGCAAGACCTAAAAGAGGAATAACATACTTTAAAAAAAGAATCAAATGGAACTGTTAGAGATGAAGGCTATAATGCAGGAGGTCAAAATCTCCCTTGAAAGTATTAAAAGCAGACTAGATCATACAGAAAATAGAATCTCAGATGTAGAAAAGAAAAATGGCCGGCCTAGAAAAATCCACCACAAAGACTGAGAAAATTGCCCCCAAAAATGAGAAAAATATACAAGAAATATTAGATACCATCAAATGTCCAAACATCCAGATAACTGGCATCCCAGAAGGCAAAGAGACTCATAAGGGCATTGATAATATATCCCATGAAGTCCTGCAAGAAAATGTTCCAAACCTAGAGAGGCACTCAAAAATCTAGTCCCAAGAAACACAAAGAATCCCAGATAGAATCAACCCAAGAAGCTCTTCTCCAAGACACATTATAGCCAGATTGACCAAAACCACAGACAAAGACAAGATACAAAGACTGGCAAGAGAGAAACGTCAAGTTACCTACAAAGGATATCCCATCAGGCTAACACCAGACTTCTCATTGGAAACAATTCAAGTGAGGAAAGAATGGGAAAATATATTCAAAGTGTTAAGAGAAAAGCAATTTCAACCAAGAATATTGTACCTGGCAAGATTATCCTTCATATGGGGAAAAAAGACAAGAACATTCTCAGATATACAAAACCTTAAAGAATTTACCAACACCAGACCAGATCTCTAAGAAGTTCTCAAAGGAGTTATATACCAAGAAAATTAAATACAGGCATACAGAAATAAGAGTACAAAGACTAAGAAAATGGCCAACTTAATTGTAGGTACAAGTCTGGAGTTGAATATTATATCCCAGAATTTAATCAGGAAGATCGAACTACAACAGAAGATAAAGTACATGAGACTGAACAGGTGAAATACCATTTTATGACTTTTGACTAAAACATTGCTGGATTTTCTTCTAGGCTTTGTTTTCCGGTTTTAAGGATTTTTGTCCTGTCTCAAGCTGTCGATAGATTCACATACCTATTATTTGAACAGAATCCTAACCTGTTTCCTGGCTTTAAGTTTTAAACAAAGTTCTTTAGCATTTCTTTGATTTATTAAAGTTAAAACTGCTTTTCTTGAAATAAATAAATTTAAAAAAAAAAAAACAAGAAGAAATGCAGATTCTGAGGCCCCAACCCAGATCTACCGAATGGAACATTTGGAGCCCCAGGAATCTATATTATAACAAGAACCTGGGGGATTCTGATAGAAAAATATATCTGAGAATCAGTGCTGTGCAGGTGTCTAAGTTTAGTCTCACTTTAAACCTCCTGAACTGAAGGCTCCACCTTGTATAGTATTCTCAACTGAACTGGTCTAAGAAGTATTTCATGTTGGGTAAATTCTCTTTACAAGCCAAAGTGATTGAATGTTTTAAAAAATTGAGAATAATTAATAATAATAATAAAGAATTTTAAACCAAAATAACAAGGTTTTTTCCCTCTAAAACATCAATGAAGAAAATCACTAACACTCTATTTTTGAAATGTACTGTCTCATTTGATTAATTGTTTTGGTGACAAAATTTCTGATTGTATACTTCTTTCTACACTGATAAACACTTGGGCGAAGCTATGCACAGCCAAGCAACCTCTTGCTGTCCACACTAAGAAAACGATGCTCTACACAGGTAGGTATCTCCGTTTATGGTCAGTGGCCCATCAGTAATAATATGTTCTGTCTCCATTTCACATAAGTTTTATATAATATCATACCTAGATATTTGTCAAAGGAACTTAAGAACCAAAGATATTTTATTCAATCTCTTCCACAAAGTGATATCACATCAATAAAAGCACAAGATTATCATGACCTATCAGGTATTTTGAAAACCCCAAACTTCCAGTTATGTTAAAAGCAAAAACTATGCAAAGGATTCCCCTACCAACACCTATCAATGTGATCGACACCTATCTTACACTAAAAAACCACTTTCCTCAGTTTTTTTCCCCTGACATATATGTTGAAATGAAATATGCAAAGTGCTGAGGGAAAAACTTAAAGAGTTCTATACTCAGGGAAATTGTCCCTCCAGACTTTCTCATACAGACACTGAAGACATTTTTTATTAGTAGCTCTACCTTATAAGAAATATTAGAAAAAATTCTTCCAAAAAAGAGGAAAATGATATATGAGTCAGAAACACAGATCTACTGGGACCAGCAGTTAGCGTAATGGCTGTCACTGGACTCCCATGTAGTCGACTGCAGTTCGCGTCCCGGACCCTGTGGCTTAAAACTCACACCGGGTGCATGTGCGTGCGTGCCCCTGATCTCAAGAAGAGAATGGAGGAGAAGGGATTGCGGCGTGGCCAACACCCCTCGGGGGTGATTTCTCGCTTTCTATATCTCTGTCTCTCTCTGTCTGGCGAGCGCACATGCCCTATAGCAAAAACCTCTCCAAAAAAAAAAAAAAAACCCCGCAGATTTACTAAGGAAAGGAAGAGCATTAAAGAAGTAAATAAGTTAAGGTAAAACATTTTTGAGAGGACTGTAAGATTTCAAGTTTCTGTTAATTAATATATAATTCCAATTCCAATGCAACAAAAATAAATATCCCAGCAAGGTTTTCAGGAACTCTTCATATTGACTGTAAAATATACATAGAAAGTAAAGGGTCAAGAATAAGAGGAGGGAGTTAGTCGGGGGTTTGGTGGGTAAGGCAGTGGCTGGATCCCACGTGCTCAGCTGCGCAGTTTGGGTCTTAGACCAGTGGTTGGAGAACATGCTGGGTGAAATGACTAAGTGCTCAAAATCCCAACAGAAGGATGGAGGAGAAGGGACTGTGTGTGGAATGGACATGCCCCCGAGAGTGCTTTCTCACTCTCTGTTTCTCTCTGGTGAGTGCACCTGCCCTTTAGTAAATGGAGAGAGAGAGAGAAAGAAAGAAAGGAGGGAGAAGGGGAGGGACAAGAAAAGGGGGAAGGGAGGGGGAGAGAGGGAAGGGGGAAAGGAAAAGAAAGGAAAGAAAGGAAAAAGGAACAAAATGAACAAGAAATTTTCAAGAAATCATGAAGCAGGAAAAGTTAAACCTACCAAATTTCCAGGTTCACTATTCACTAGGATGAAAATAAAGGGGTACAAGCATAGGGCTAGACAAAGAGATCAATGGAACAGAATAAAGAGTCTACAGACATACATGGAAAATTAAAAAGTGACAGAGAGATTATCATTCGTATTGGGAAAACCTATAGACTATGAATTAAGATATAGGTACAATTAGCTACCTATTTGATCTTTTTAACTCAAAGAATTAAATACACACACACACACACACACACACACACACACACACATATATATATGAATAAAACTGGAAGAGACTTAAAGACCAAATGGCTAAAAGAAAAAGCTTTTCAAAGAAAATATTGAATAGTTTTGAGAGTAGAAAGGATTACTTAAACGATACCTAAAAAGTAAACAATAAAATGACCATATTAAAATGATAGACATTTGTATCAGATGACTCCCTATAAACAAAATGAGAAAAAAAGTCACTGGCGAAGAGAAAGTTCAGCAACCCGTATAATTCACAATGGCTAGTATGCAGAATACAGATATTCCTTAATCCCGATGGGGTTGTGTCCCAATACATTCATCGTAAGTAG